CTCCCTGGGATCGACCTCCTCGCCGGAACTTCCTTCCTCGGAAGGTGCGGACAGAGGGAAGGAGTGAGCTCAATGGGAAGATTGCCCCCGAACCCATAGAGCAAGCGCTTCTTGGAGGCATGCTCCCATACAGCAAAGCAACCAGAGGTGCACCTTCTTCTTGGAGTCAGCCTGTGGTTACCCCCTCAGCAAGTGGAAGCAGAGCACTCCTTCCCCGTTCTGTACATGACGCTTGGATGGAAAGGCTTGCATGTTGGTCGAGTCTGAGAGTATGGTCCTTGCAGTGTGCCTTGAACCGTTTGTTGGCCTACGTCTTCAGAGATTCTATCAGACGCACGTGTCACCAGGAATGTGGCCTTGCTGGAGCCGGCTGTTTTCGAGTCCTTAGCGGAGCGACACCCCGGCGGCCCACCCTGCTTAGCGGCCACCTGTGAAGCTCTTTTGCTCAGGCCTTTAGACCCAGGGTTGGCGTCCATCAACCCTTAGCTGGTCGAATCTGCCCAGATGGATGGACGCGGTTTAGAGCTCTCTCACTGAACTCGCCCGATCTTTGCTGAACTTTGATGTTTCGATAGCTGGATTGGTGTTTTTTTGAAGCTACTTTGTCCTCAGAGAAATCACTGATCCCGGCAGGCTTGATCCGGGCTTGCGCTCATCAGCGCTCGAGGACGCTCGGAGCGAGCTCTCCTCGGCTCTTGCCCAAAGCCTCTTTGCCAGGACTGGAGCTGGCGATTTTGCTTCGGACCAGAAGGATATCGGCACACTGGGCACGGCGAGACGGAGGGCTACAGGCGGGACATCCACACATTTCGAGGAAGATGCGGTCGGAGTTGTCGGCTTCCGAAACAAAAATGAAAAACGAAAGCTGTCTCAAGCTACAGACCTCTCCTTTGTTTTTTTGGGTATCGATTTTACAGAAAGCCAACAACTTGACGCCAGGTGTGAGGTCCAAAGTGCCGGCCGCCGGCGCTGGCGGCCTCCGGAGCTTTGCTTCGCGCGCGTCGAGGAGTTCGCGGAGTGGGGGTTCTGGATTCCCGTTTTGGCTGGGAAGCGAAGGTTGGAGCCTTCATATTGACCCGTTGAAAGATGCGCCCTGTGCCCATTCACCAGAAAATTGCTCTCTGAACCCAGCCAGCAGTTTCGGGAAAGTGCGGAAGCATGCAGGAGAAGGCAGCACAAAGCCTGCGTGTCTTGCTGCGCTGTCGACGCTGCGTTGGGCTGCTCGAGTGAGAAAGTGGCGACTGGCGGTGCAAAGTCAGGTGCCGTTCCAACTTTCATGGATCTAGAACAAAGAATTGCAGAGTGGTTCCAGTTGCAGTGTGACTTAGGGCTGCCATTGCTGTGGAAGAGACCAACAGACCACTTTGACAATGCCACAGCCAGGGACAGGTGCGGGACTCGGCTCGGCATGCGAGTGCTTCATGCGAGCTTTCATGCGAGCTTTGCTGAAGTATCGGGTGTAAGAGAGGGTATGAGTATGAGTCTTCCTTGTTCCATTTATCCGGCCGCCGTTCCAGTTACCCGGTCGCCGTTTTGGGTACCTGGTTCCCCACAGCCAGGTTTTGGGGGCTGTTGGCCAAGCTCCTGGAGAGCCCAGAAGTGGTCCATGGCTCAGAGATTGCCACACGCCGCACGCGCATGGCTTCGCTCACGGAGGTCCTCGCCACTAACAATCCGCTGCTCACCGAGCAGATTGCCTTTCAGGTGTGCGTTTTGGATATGGCCATGGGTCAAAACCCGTACCCCCAGTGAACATCCAAATCCCCGCTAAAATAGACTAAAATGAGTGGTGCTCCCACCCCAAAATGGTACCATTGGTTTTGACCCACAGCCATATGAGGAAAGGCACATTTTGCATGTTTGGGTGGTGCCAGAAGTGCTCTGGTCCAGGCCGGGGCAGTTCTGCCAGTTGTTCGACCACATGCAAGGCGCCTGAATAGACATTGCAAAGCCAGGAAGCTCTCTTTCTCTCTCTGTGTGTCTCTCTCTGTGTGTGTGTGTGTGTGTCTCTGTGTGTGTGTGTGTGTGTGTTTGCCTGTTTGCGTGTTTGTGTGTTTGCGTGTTTGTGTGTTTGTGTGTTTGTGTGTGTGTGTGTGTTTCGGAATGAGCGACCCGCCCGAATGTTGGCAAATTGTTGGTTTCCTTTACACCACACCAATAAGGATACCCTATGTATGATGCACACGAACAGACACATCGAGCAGGTAGATTCTTGAAAACCAAACTGTCCTCCAGACGGCCTACTGCAATTGCAGCCGCAAGGTTTACGCAGGCAGTTTATGCCATGGCCCAAGTGTCTTGACCTCGGACTTGCCAGTCACCACCATTTCCTGAGGCCCCGACTCGCCCCAATGATGCTATGCTTGTCCTGCTCCAAGTGTGCATCAAGGTGACCTGGTTGATCAGGGGAACCAGGGCCTTGGTTGATCTCTGTGACTTAGGTGTCCCGCACAAAGTTTCTGTGGGTGACACTGGATTGCGCCTTGCGCCTGTTCTTGGATGATTCGTGCGCCCCTCTGAATGTGCAAGCTATCATACTTGTGACTTCTTCTTGCGAACAGGTACCCGATTAAGTTTACCATTGCAAACTCAGATTCCAAGCTGACGCCCCAGCTAGCCGGCTCGCCTGTATGGCAAGAGTTTTACTTCTTCGTAGCCGCGTTGAGCTTTCTTGAGGCTTCCCTTTCGGGAGATGGCAGCACATCGAGCGGTTGTGCTGATGCCATGGGAACACGCACTGATGGCCAGGAGCCTAGCGGGCATCCAGAGGTATAGGTCAGACAGTTTTGGAGCACGGCAATCCATGCCTGGGTAACTGGGTAAGGCGTTCTTCGAATTTTACTCCATGGGAGTTCCTCTTTTGATGCCTGATGCGGACTGGTCCTACCGCCTGATTTTCGATGCAGAGGGCAACCTTGGCAGTACTCTGCCAATCTACTGGGATGCCGCTCGGCTTCCAATTGGCAGGTGGGTCCAAAAAGTTGAATCACTTACACGAGAACCCCCAAGGCTCCTCGATTCGCTCCTGAATTCGCTCCTTAACCCATTGAATACACAGATCGGAACACGTTGACATTTCTTGCTGTGGACAGCAGCACAAACACAGGCCAGGTTTATGATTTGAATGCCAGAACTTGCAGACTCAAAACAACACTCATGCAGCTTTCTATTGATCCAGCGCCATTTTGTTGGCCTATCCGACGAACAATCCGACTATATAAACCAACTAAGCCATGACAGAACCAGGTAACGAATCTCTTGGCTCCTATGCAAGCTGGCGGCGTGCAATGGCTGATATGGCTGGAGGTAAGAGATCTCCTACTTGCATCCTCGCAACAAAATCACTGAGAAGTACATGTCTTATTGTCAACCCACCTTATGTTCATAGAAAAGCACAATGGAACACTGAAATGCCCTGCGCTACATGAAAAAAACGCGGTTTTTTCCATCAAAAAACACAAATTTCACTGAACAACGCGGGCCTCCACAGCGTCCCACACTCCATTTAAGTAGCCAAGTAGCTGTCTGGTTGGCAGGCTGCGCTTTGTTGCATCGGCCAACATGTACTTGCATCTCACAAGGCTTCTCAACTTGATGTTGTGTGTTGTTTTGTCACTTCTGCTCGTCGGCTTCGCCGACTTGGCAACGACCCTAAAACTTAATGGCAGGTTCATCGGCCTCGAATCTGATAGAGTCAGTCAATTTCGAAGGAGTCCAACCAACCAATTTCCCAGCAACACTGAATGCAAAGCTAAGTCTGCGACTCGCTTCCGTGGTGTCATGCGACTTGCTGAGGTAAGCCCAAGCTGTGGTCCCCATAGCTGCGACAGCCTTCATCCTTACCCACCCTTTGCCTTTGGAAGCTTTGAGTCGCGCAGATACTGGTATCAGTGAAGGGCTCAGAACGGCAAGTCGTTCAAAAAAGGTCACAGGGTCATCCCTTTGCCAGGGCAATGCGAGCTGCAGGTACTCCTCATTTGCCCAGTTCCCCCACATCCAGCGGTTCAGCAGCATCCCCGAGCTCTTGCGCCAGCTTCTGCATCTGGACCTCATGGCTGTGAGCGCTGCCATGAAGGCAACCGGGAGCGCAGATCGATTCGAAGAGCGCTGGCAAGACGAGTTTTTGCTTTTCTTTATGGGCTTCTTGAAAAGGTCTTCTTTTCTCGCAGTTCCCTCTCCAGGCCTTCAATGAAGAGACCTTGGTGCGTAGCGCCGCCTTCTGGCGAAGAGCTGCGCAGCTTCTCTCCTCATAGGCGAGGAGCCCTGGGAGTTTTTCGGCTGGGAATTGGAGTGTCCTGGGAGACTTGAGTTGCCTGGAACAGAGCTAGCTTACTAGGAGAGCCAACTGGGGTTCGGACTTGCAGGGTATCGTTTAGCTAAACTTTAGCGTCAGCTCAAAACATCCAAAACGCCACCACGAGTGCAAGTGCACAATTGGAGTTCACCGCTCTCGCTGTCTTGTAGCTTAGCTCATGGTGTTAAGCCATCATCCGAAATGCATGGACGGGTTTGGCGCGGTAGATTGCGGGGAGTTGCTTGAATGCGAGGCCCTTGATCCGTCTTCATGGACAGGAGGCGGTTTGCGCCAGGAATGTCGACAGGGTCCGGGCCCGGGCGGGTGATGTGCAGGTGCGGGTTCCCCGAACTGGTCGACCGTCAGGACGCTGAGCTCAGCGTCACAGGCACTCCTTGCTCTTGCTTCACAGGAAGTGCTTGCATCATCTCGCATCATTTTGCATGCTCAGCGTCACGCTTTTGGCTCAAGCTCTGTGTCATTTCTGTCATTGGCGCCCAAAGCAGGTAAATCAGACAGAATAAGATCATTTGAGGGTGAGACCTGTTTGGAAGGCTTTAGACGCGCTCATTTTTTTTAACCCGGGCGTTTGGGTGCGCATGTCGCAGATCTTCGTGTGCCAAAGCACCAGCTGCAAGGGCCTGGGCTCTGAGAAGCTTCTCAGAGACTTGGAGGCGCTGCCAAGAATCTTCTCAGACACTTGGGCGGCTTGCGCTGTTCGTTCAGGAGCTTTGTGCAGACTCCGGATGCCAAGCAACCCAGTATGGGTGTCTTGACCTTTGCGGCAAAGGCCCAAATGTAAAGGCGGGGAGCCGAAGTCTTGCAAGCCTTTGGCCCGAGTTCCTTGCTTTCGAGGTCGAGTCCAAAGCTTCCAAGGAGCGGGAATCTTTCGGCTGTCAATAGGTGAAGCTAACATGATCAGCTGAGTGTCCCGTGTCAACGCAGTAGCAAGTTGCTGGACGCAAGTTGAGGTGTTGGTAAATGCAAATAAAACATGCTGGCGTGAGTCACAAAGGACAGGAAAGTCGTCGAAGGCGTCAAGACGTTCAAGGCTCTCAGGACGGCATGCTTCGTGGTGACACTTTGAAATCAACGTGGATCAACGCCTATCGAACCCAAGATCCCCCCCGACCTTCTGCCCATGCTCCAAAGTGAACATAATATGGCCGTGGGTCAAAACTAATGGTACCATTTTGGCGTAGGTGCACCACCCATCTTTGTGTTTTTTAGTGGGGATTGGGATGTTCACTGGGGGTACGATTTGGATTTTGACCCATGGCCATGGAAGATGCGCTTCGACGCGCCAGGAGCTTGGTGGAGAAGAGCGGCGCGAAGCTTCGGAAGCTGGACTTCCAGGTCGCCGAGATCAAGTATGAGGCGCTCGGGTGCGTTTTTTCTTCTTCTTCTCCATGGCTTAAGCTTCCGCGACTTGAAGTCAAGCCGCGTGGGATCCTGACGTTGCCGGGTCCTGAAAGTTCATAGTAAAGCTGGAACACGGCTCCAGATGCCATTCACGGAATTCATGGGCTGTGATTGGGGTCTTCAGATTGCAGGGCTCCGATTTCACTGATGCTGATTATGTTTGTCGCGTGCGTATCTTGACAATTGTGCAGTAGTCTACTGCATACTCCTCACTTGAAACGTCGAAGCCTTTTTTTTTTTTTTTTCTTTCGGAGGGGTAAGACACGCACGTACACACACGCACGCATAGGCGCGGCGCACAGGCGCGAACACTGCACTCACGCACACAAATCGGCCTGGCAGGCTCGGCGCTCGAAAAGCTCGGAGGACAAAATGGCCAAACTGGACAAGGGCTTCAAGGAGCGCCCAATTGCGTGTGTGTCCAATCGGGTGCTTCATTTCTTTTTTTGGGGGCCTCCTTCTGGTTGGGGGTTTAAAGGGGAGCCAACAGGAACACCGAAGTCCATGTTCATGGGGTCCAAGTCCAAAAAGCACACACACCAAAAGCAACCAAAACAAAACACACACGAAAAAAACAGCGACGCGTTCCGCCGGCGGCCTGGGGTTTTCTTGGATCACCCGGCCGGTGGCACGGTGGCCTCGGCAAGGCCATCGGCGGTGAGCCGGCCGCCTCCAAGGAGCCCCGACTGGCTGGCTCGTTGCTGGCGCTGCGGGCTGAGGAGCTGCTGAGCGCCTCGGGAAATGTGGGTCACCCTTGTCTTTTTTGGCAGAAAGGTACCCTTTTGCGGTTGCTTTTAAAGGGAAGCCCAAATAAAAGCCACCTCTTTTTTTTGGGGTCCTCTATTTTTCAGACACACGCGTGTGGATAATGAGGGATATGATTTGTAAGTCATCGCCTATGAGCCAAGCAGTTGGCGTCTTCCATTCGCATAGGCAGCAATGGAGATGCGGCTGCAGCCCTGCGAGATGCGCAGCAAGCATGCGCGCTGTGGACAGGCTTCGGACCCGCGCACCTGTCTGCTGCCCTGGCGTTGCTTAGGCGCGCGACGTTTCATGAGGTTTGAGAAGATTGAATCTTTTCAGTGCAGTGCAATTGGATGAATTGGCCAGGCTGGGGGAAGTAGACAAGGCTCGCGAGGAGTTCCAGACAGCACAAGATGCTGGTGGGAGCTTGAACAAGGACCTAGGTTGGAAGATGCAAGAGCGCAAACTAAGAACTCAAATGTAGCCAGGGCTCAAGCCGATCCAATCGTAAGCACGTCAAGTTGCCCGCCTCGGTGACGCAGTGGCGCTGTGTGCCTTGCTTTGGTGTTGTACCACCACCAACCACAGCGACAACACAAATGACAACACCTTTGGTTGTAGAATAAACTTCTGTGATGCAACATGTTGGGCAATCATGTCTGCGCCCTGCCGACGTCCCAAGCACTGAACCGGGCTGGCGATAGTGGAACAACCCCGACTGAAGTGCTTGACGCTGCGCGGCTTCACTGGGCTGGGCTTGACGGGCTGGGCTGACTTGGGCCAATTGAAGCTGTCAGGCCAAGCTAGCTATGCTAAGCCTGCTAGGCTGGGCTGGACTGTGCCAGGCCGTGTTGGGCTAGGCAGAAATAGACGTGAGTTGGCCTGGATCGATGACGCTTGTGGACTGGCTGCCCCAGTTGTCTCAGGCAGGACGGACAGCTGGACTGGGTAATCTCGCTGGTGGCTTGCTTCAAATTGGAAAGGGCAGACAGGGCTGGGTAGGGATGGGCTGGGCCGAGACAGGCAGCGGACAGCCCCGAAAAACCCAGGCCAGCGTTTAGAGCGTTCAGAGCAAACGGCCGGCAGTTCCTTCAGACGGGCTGGGAGACTTCGAAAGTTCAGCCCGGTTATTGCTGTATGGACTGCTCAAGCAATTCGTTCAGATTTGGGATGAAGCGTGCAACAAAATAGCGCAAAGAGTTTGGAAGCCAGTTTTGATTGCTTGATGGTTGGCTTCGGGTTGTTTTGGGTTGGTAGGGTTGGTGCATGGTTTAGCGTTTACGTTTTGGGCTGGTTCATGTTGGGTTTAGGGTTGGTGACGGGCCGGCTCATGGTGGGTTCATGGTTGGTTTTCATCGGTGTATGACAAAAACGACACTTGTTTGGTTCATACTTTGAGTCTTTTGCGTGCGGAGGATCACATGAGGATGGTCATCAAGCAGTTGGCCGAGGCCCCAAAAAGGGAGGCACCGGCCGAAGGCGACGTCGGCGCAGAGGAGAAGAGGTTGGTCGCGGCGAAAAGCAACAAAGTGAAGGAGGCCAAGCCCATCGGTGACGCCGAACCACCTGTGGAGGTAGCTCCTCCGACGGCTGCCAAGGTGAAAGCGAAAACAAAGCCCGCTGCAAAGAAACTACAAGCAGAAGGGAACGAGCCGGCAGAGAAACCATCAGAGGAAACCGCTGAGGTGAAGAAGCCGTCCAAGAAGACAAAGGAACCCGAAAATGAGGCGGCAGAGCCGGCCACAAAACCCAAGAAGCCAAAGGAGAAGGAGAAGGAGGAGAAGGAAACGTCTGATGCGAAGGAGCCCCCCAAGAAGCCGAAGCCGAAGAGGACGGAGGAGTCCCTTGAGCAGACATCGGCCGAGCCGAAGGAGTCGGAGAAGGCAAAGACATTGACCAAGGAGTCGATCGATGCGAAGGCGAAAGTGAAGAAGTCGAAGAGCAGCGAACGAAAGCAGGACTGGTTTTGATTAGATCCGGAGTGGTGAGATCTTTCCAGGGTTGGAGCCTGACCTGACCCGCAGCGAATTTAAGGAGAGCTTGCCAACCGAATCCGACGGCCTGACGGCGATGGTTGATCTAATGAGCATCATGTCGCCCTGCGACTTGACCGCAACAGTTTTTCTCAAAAACGCTGTATTGCCACAACTGCTGGAGCTTGCCTTGCGACTGAAACCTGTCAGAAGTATCACACGAGCGTTGGATGCTTTTTTTTCTGCTTTTTTTCTTCTGCAAGCGTGAAGGACAGTTTCAGGTGACTGAAACATCGTTCCATGCTCCGTCGGCCTATTGACAACATTTGTCACAATATATTGACCAAGCAAGCCAGTTGCCAGCCCAGACCAGTGCTCCAGCGCCAGCTTTGACCGATCACATGAAACAAACATAGCATTCACACGTCTACGCCGCTAGGTCCAGATGGAGAATTGAGTGATGATGGCAAGCTGCATGAGCCAGGCAGGTGCCGCTAGATGGTACTGCAAAGATATATGCTTCCAGCCACTGTCTCCTGTGCAAGTGACTTGAAGTGCCCCAAGGGTTTCCATGGTTGTCCAAGCGTCGAGTGAGTCCGATCGCAGGCCCCTCAGTGCGCTCCGCAATCGGTTGGGCCACGGCCTCGGTCTTGGTATGCTTTGGGTTGGATTTGTGGTTGTCTCAGGCGCTTCCGCGCTCCATTATCAGCCTCTGATGCACATAACCTTATTGTCAATCAAGTGAATCCCGCATTTTCAAGTGAGAGTGCCCAAAGCTTCAACTGGGCATTCTAGGTAGGCGAATTCTACTGGTAAAGCCTATGAAGACCTATATTGTCACTGCTCAAGTGGGCAGATGAGGATTGGCCAAGAAAAAGGTCTTAGCTTTAACGATAGTTGTAGCGATTGGCCAATCTTCTACTGCAGGCACCACTGCATGTCACTCTGTCTCACTCAGGTTTGAAGAATTGGGGAATCCATCCTTTTTGTCCTTGCAAGTTTCTAACAAGGACAGGAATCTCCCCGGTTTTTTGGCCACTGCGGTGTCAGCGAGCAGCAAGTAACCGTTTGTGGTCGACAAGCGTAACGCTGCCCTGCTTTGATCGTTCCGGATCATGCTCTCCTGAGCAAAAGGGCGCCACTGGTCATGATCAGCCTCGCAGACGACTTTGTTCGGGTGGTACTGAATTGACAACTGAACCTCGCAGGCAATTGATTGAGGCTTCTTTGTTTCACATCGATTTTGACGGCAACTCATGCAGCTGCAGATGGAAGTTTCTGGATTTGCTGTTGTATCCATCAGTGCGTTTCTCAACTGCTCTGCTTGGTAGGCTTGCCCTGGGCGAGCGCGGATGCAGCACCAATTTGTCAGGCATGCTTTCCCGACGCTGTTCCCATAACTGGAGTGAATAGAGTTAGTCCCACCGAAACTCACGCAACTCGTGCAGAGCTACGATGGACCATTGCCTGCAACTGACAGCGCACAGGCAAGGACATGATGGGGAAGCTCTTCATGCCAGAAGCTCGCGAGAAGCACTAGGAACCTCTCGCAGTGCGCGCTTTTCAGGTGGCGGAGACGGATGTCGGTAGAACATGAGCCCTGAGATGTTGCAACAGCGACGTGTACAAATCGTTGCCGCTGAGCGACTTTATATTCACGCCTGAGAGCAATCATGGCGACGTGGCGAGCTGAGCAAAAGAAGTTACAAGCTGTGCTCAGTTCTTTGGAAACATGTTGTCCACACACTACCGAGTGATGACGTGCTTGCCTCAGCTGGATTTTCTCCCACAGCTGGGAAACACAAGCCAGGTAAAATTGCAGCAGGCTCACCCTGTGTCAACCCAGTTTCAGTCGCATTTTTGGAGTATGCGTCAAATGTGCTCTCAACCAAGTAACGAGCAAGACGAGGTTTGGTTCGTCCAGATTCTCCTCCTCAAGTGTTGAACACATGAATGAATATGTTTAGATCCTCACAAACCAGATAGAGCAACTCATCATGCCATGTCGGCACCTGGCATAAGGCAGAGCATGCTCTTCTGACATCAGCTTTGCTTTTGGTTTCCTCACCGTGCCAGTGCTCTTGCCAACTAGGCCAGCAAAGCGCGCCGAACCCTGCGGAACGCTCATTTGCGCCAAGCGACGGCGGCAAAGGCTGGCAGTGTTGATGATAGGCGGCCGCCCAACCTGTGGCCAGGCAACTGCCCGCGTCGGTGCAAGAAAGCTATGAGGAGGCACGAGACAAAAAAGTAGGTTGTGTTCTTCCCCCCCGTGCAACGGCTTACCTTGTTGTTAACAAGTGGGTCCTCCCCAATCAACAGTAGTTAGCCCGATGATATGGCCAATAGAACTGGGACCATGCGACCCGACGCTTGGGACAGGCAGAGGAGGCGGAGTATGAAGCTGGCGGCCTCAGTTTGAGAGCCAGCATGACTTGGTGAATGAAGCAACGCCCAGAGGCAAGAGTCGTGGTCTTAGAAGGTGTAGTCTGTCAGGTCAAGCGGGAGGCCGAAGCCAGTTGTCACCCATGTTCGTTGAGTTGATCTTGGCGCGTGCTGCGTTCAGATGTTTTACGAACCCAGGACTCCTTTCTTTCGGCGCCGGATGGCCTGGACTTAGTACAGGCACGTGGATTTCGCCTGATGCTGCTGGATGGACCAAATCCTGCAGATGGGATGCACAAAGCCCTGTGAATATTTGCTGGGAAAAAATACTGGGATAAACCACCTACCATTTGGTGAAGGGTGTTGTCCATCCGCAGTATGTTTGCTTAGTTGCGATTGCAAGCTGTCCATCATCGTTTGGCTGTCACAGTTTCCAGATCTGCCGACGAGGCACCCATGACCCCGCCAGACGAGGGACGCTGCACGGTGGCTGCTGCTTTTTGGCAGGACCCGGGCTGTGTCTTGAATTTTGTTTGTTATCGAACGAATTGGAGGACAGTGTGGAGGCAGAGGAGGAGCTGCGGGGATTCTTTTGTGACATGTGGATTGCCGATTGACGGAGGATGAAGCCTTTGGCACATCCAGCACTGAAGTGCCACCTCAGGACGAGTTTGGCACCTACGGTAAGGGGATAGCTTTGGAGCAAGTGCGAAACCGGAGGACATGGAAGAAGCCGACTTTGAGCAGGTCGCTGTGGAGGAGCGAGAGACATAGCAAGATACATTGCCATCCTGAATTCAGTTGTCAGCATTTGGGTGAGCTTCGGAGTCCGCGCATGTCCGCCTCCGGCGTGGCCGTGTTTTGGTTCAAGCACGCTGACAGGATGGCGACGAGGGAAGAGCCCTGGAAGAGGAGGAATTGGAGGCATTGCGATTCAGCTCGATGCGTGTGCCAGTCCGGACTCACGAGTCATTGGTGCAAGACGGTGAGCAGGCTGCAGAGGCAGAGGCCGAAGACCCGGAGGCCCAAGACGGCGGTTTTTGCAAGCATGCGGCAATGGCAGTTTTTTTGTTGTTGCTTCTTATTGTCATGTGTTGAAGTTTGCTTTTCAATTTCTTCGCTTGCCTTTTGGCGTATGTGGCCTTTCCAGCTTTTCACGGCTTTTCGTGACTTTTGCGTGATGGCCCTGCCCGATCCCGTCATGTACCCACAAATGTTCATTATGTATCCTTTTCGAGGGCATTTTGTTTCATGTTTCTTTGTTTTATTCTTAAATTAACTTTTTGAAGGAACCCCACAAGAACTCAACCAACCTGAATCAACTACAGATACACCTAAGTCAAGCCCAGACTAGACACCCCCAAATCGGCACTAAACCAATCCACCAGCTGTAAACGACGCCAAACCAGCCCCCCAGCCGGCACCAAACCCACCCGCAGCCCACCAATCCTAGCCAAAATGCCGCCTACACCCTTTCCAGGTTCTCGAATAGTCAACTTTGAGTGTTCGAATATCATTCCACCTCCGCGATAGCGTAGAGAGAGAGAGAGAGATATATATCGCAATTGAAAAGGCGTTGAAGCGCAGGATGCTTGAGGCTCGAATTGAAGGGCGCGGCAGAGAGCGCAGCAGGTTGCTCACGCCATTGGCAGGAGGAGGGCGAGGAAGCGGACCTCGACCCCGAGGCATCGATTCGGGTTGGCGCAACCCTGATTTTCTTTGGTCCGGATGCGGGATGGGCTGAAGTGTTAACCGTAGGTGGTCGCTTGTCTTGACTCTTTGTAAGTATCCACTTGGGCCACCATTTTGGGCTCAAGTGGACACTTCCCTTTTGTCTTGGAATCTGAAATTCTCATTCCCCTCCTATCAAAGCCATGTACACCCCCGCCTATGCTGGTGCCGCGGTCGCAGAGGCTAAGGCGAAGGCGAAGGCATCCATGGCGAAGTACCTGGCAAGCCTTGTGAAAAAGGAGGAAGAAGGTTGGACCGTCCTGGCGGCTGAGGTCCCTCAGGCACCGGACGAACGGTTCTTCTCCAGCGCCGACGAGCTGGAGCAAGCCCCACTCATCCCAGCCAAGCGTAAGGCCGAGGACGAGCTGATGGCGGACTCCCCCCCTGGGGTGGCGCAGGTGCCGAAGGCCCTGACACGCCCCCCAGGGGCGTTCCTGGAGCTTCTCGACCCTCCAGAGCCGGATGTTCCCATGGTGGAACTCCTGGCGGAAGACGCGGAGGAGCCCCCGATGGAGGAACCCCTGGCGGAAGATGAGGTGGACCCCCCGATGTCCGACACCAAGTGGCAGGGACGCCAGGACCTTATGGAAAAGGCCAGGGCGCAGGTGTCCTCGGAGGGGGATGAGGACCCCGCAGCCCCCCCGCCAGGGGGAAGCGTCTTCACCAAGGCCCTCAAAGTCTCTGAGGGCCTTTACCAATTCAGTGCGGACCAGATGGCGGGCGACTTCCCGTGTTTTGATGGGACCACGGCCGCCAGGCTCCGACGACTGCAGGCCAAGGATGTCCAGCGGCTCTTGAGAGGCTTTGAGGGCCCCCAACTCAAGCAGGGGGGCCTGGAGCGCGTGGTGGAGGCGTTCTACATCGCCAAGATGAAGTATGAGCATGAGGCCCTGCTCAGCACCCCGGGACAGAAGGTTGGCAAGCGCGCTGGCCTGGGGTATGGGGGCCTTGAGAACCGCCCCCTGGGTAAGGAGCCCACATCCTGGATCTGCCCCTGCTGCACCATGCCCTGGGTGAAGAAGGGCGCCAGGAAGTGTATGGGGTGCGGCAAAAAGACGGAGCCCATCGACACGGCGTCCAACTTGGCCACCCTGGAAATGGCGGGCACGCACTGGCAGCTGACAGTGGATGACCAGGGCAATGCGGTCTGGACGGCGGCCCGGTCCGCAGGTGCCGATGGCCCTGACACGGACCGGGCCCGCGACCTCAAGCTCAGCGCCTCGGTGGATGTCAGCGAGCTGGCCACCGACCCAATGGCATGCGAGAACCTGGACCAGGCCAGCTTCTCGGATTTTGTCCCCTCCTCGGTCCGGGCGGTGATCAGGAACTGCCCCATGGAGCTGGACGAGGATTTCCTGACGGCCCCAATGGGGGAAAGGCCCCCGTTGCCGGGCGACAAGGAAGAGGGCCAGGAGTGCAGGGCCTTCCACCCGTCGGCAGTGAAGGCCTTCAAAATCCAGACCCGGCTCAACGCCACCACCATCGCCCAGGAAGAGGCAAAGAAGGCAGACCAGGTGGCAGCGGTGGAGCGATCTGCGGCGGTCCTCCACGAGCTCCAAGGAGGGGCCATCGATGGAGGAGGCGATGGGGGACAACTCCTCAAGAATTTGGACTTGGACCTTTTCCGCGAGAAACTGCTGGATAAGCTGGGCGCGGACTGGGGGAGGCCCACACCGGAGCTCCTCCAGGCCCAGACCACTGCGGAAGAGGCGAAGGCAAAGCACCAGGCCAGACAAGCGAAGGGCGCCCTCGAGACCAGAATGCTCGAGCCCATCAAGCCTCCATTCAGTGCGTGGCCTAGCGAGGTCCGAGTTGCCATTGAGACAGGGGTCTTTGAGCCGACCACGGCATGGAGGGATTTCAGCATGGACGACCTCACGTCCCTCACGGACTCTTACCTCGAAGCCAAGGCGGTCATCTCGCTGGGTAGGAACCCCTTTCCGGCGGCCCTCCTGGCAGATCTGCCGGATCTGGCGGGGATCCCCATTCCAAAGGCGGGGGGCTCTGGTGCGGCGCGCCCAGGTGCCGAGGGCCCTGACAGGCAGCCCACCATCCCCCCAGCTTCGGGCTCTGGTGCGACGAGCTCAGGTGCCGAGGGCCCTGACAAGCCGTCCGCCACCCCGGGGGGCCTGGACACCCAGGACCCGGAGGTGCAGCTCGCGGTCCTGCGCTGGATGATGAGCAAGCGTGTCGGAGAGGTCCGCATCTTTGCGGGCCGCTGGGTCCGACGACCGGGGCCCGTACACGTCCCGGACTGGGCCAACAACCTCACCAAGGTGAATCCGGAGGCGCTGGAAAAGGGTACGCATCCCAGGAACCACCAGGCGGGTGGACTCCCATGGGCCAGGTACTCCGTTGAGGAGCTGAACCAGCAGGCCAAGGCGGGGGACCGACCATACCCCGAGGACCTGCGATCCATCTTCTGGGCGGCCCCCCACGATCCGGAGGAGGACTTCCACTGGGCGCGCCAGATCTCGTCCTGGACACTCCCAGGCTTGCTGGGGATGTTTGGTCACAGCTTCACTCTGCGCCAGCTCTGGGGAGTCTGGGAGTCTCTGCCATTGCTTCAGGGCCCTAGGCAGCGGGGCCCGAAGAACAAGGCCCAGAATCAGATCCGCCTGGAAGGCTGGGAGACCCTGAAGGAAGATGCTCGGTGCTTCCTGAAGGAGGAGGGCCTTCCGCTTCCGCAGACAGGACCGGAGTGGCGCCTGGTCTACCGGGCCATGGGCAAGGTCCTTGCGGCCCGGGCCTTCCTCACGGACACCCCGGCGGAGGTAATGCAGCTCCCGGTCCAGGACGTGGCGGACTCCAAGGAACAGATGATCCTCCGGGCGGTATGTGATGAGCGCATATCGGTCCCGGTGGAGAGTCTCCAGCAGTTCCCAGAGGTGTACCAGGCCCTCATGGACCGCATTGGAGGCCCGGGGGCCCTGGCGGAGGTGAAAGTCAACTGGCGCTGCAACACGAAGCAGTGGTGGGTCGGCGCAGTCCCCGACTCAGTGGCCCCCTCCATCTACCGCAAGCTTGGCTACACCAACGACATGATCAAGCTGATGGGCCTGGACCCCTCCGCCCCCGGGTGCCGGACAGGTGCCGATGGCCCTGACATCCGCCCCAGGGGAGGAGAGGGCGATGAGGGGATCGTCTACCCCCCCATCACATCGGACAACGTCCACGGCGTGGTGGGCAAGGAGTACAAGAAGAAGAACTTCTCGGCAGAGACGAAGCACGTCTTCTGGGCGCACATGGAGTGCGGCCTGGTTCTGAGCTCAGTCACCCCATGGGAGCTCATCCCCAAGACGAAGGGGGAGACCCGGGGGGGCTATATGTGCAAGTACTGCAAGGGGTACTGGCGCGCCGGGGGAGGGGGCACTCGCCTCCTCCAGATCCGGGCCGGCAAGGCCATCCTTCAGCTGGTGCTGGACGAGCCGCCCGATGGACTGTACAACCGCTGGGTCAAGGAACGGCTGGAGTTCTACCGCCGAGTAGAGCCGTCTGCCCCGCTGCGGGATGTCTCCGTGGTGGACCAGAAAGTCCCACGATTTAGGTTCAGCCACGTCACCCAGACCGGCCATGTCTCAGATGCCATCTGGGAGCTGATTCTCCGGAACCCGGAGGCGGCGGCGCTCAAGCGCATTGACGACATTGCCAAGGGGGCCGTGTGATCATGCAGCACTGCGGCCATCCGGAACGGAATTGCAGGGCACCCCGGGGGAGGACAGCTGCCGATGGCGCTGATATCCCCCCCGGGCACAGCACAGGCCTTGGCCTGTACCAGGCGAGAAAAAGGGGCGCGCTTGGTTTTCCCTTTCCGTGGAGGCTCCCCGGATCCCCCCCCCCCGTTTTCGGGTTTGGCTTTCCGGGGTTTTGGGGCCCCCCCCCTGTTGTTGGGTTGGGGTTGTCGCCTTGAGATTTGGCTCCGGGCTCGAGTGGATCATGATGATGTGGAGGCCCCGCCTCCCTTCCCCGTTTGGAACGACCTTCCTAGGGGTCCCAACCGCGGTCCAGTTGATTTTGCATGAGCTTGGATTTGCACCAGTGCAGTCGGACGGGGAAATCCTCGTGGCGTGCTGCCTGGAATGGGTCAAAAAGGACAAGGTCGCCAACCCGCATGCATTGAGTGAAAGAGAGACCCGGGAAGAGGACTTGGGGCCCCCCGGGGCCTTTTCCCGGGTCTCTCTTTTGAAGTGCGTGCAAGGCGCCGGACCACACGTTTCTTGCCTTTGACGGAGGAGGTGATGGAGGCCAGCTCCTGAAGAACCAGGGGAGTGGATCCTCTCCGGATCGATTGAGGCCCCGGATGTCCTGGCAGTGGCCAACAAGTGGCGGCATTGGAAACCAGGGAAGATCAAAACCCAACTGCCGACATCCCAACGAGCGTTGGAACAGCACTTGAGGGCCAGGTGGCTGGAACGCCTCCTGGGCTACTTCATTCCCTTCCGCCACCAGATCCCCTACATGCACCAGGTGATGGGGGCCAAGGAGCTGGAGGAGTTTGGCCACCTGTTCGGAGATGCCCGTTTCCGGACCATCCGTGCACATTGCTTGGCCTATGAGGGCATGCGCAAGATCGGCTTCCAGAACCTCCCCTGGACGGCCGGGGACGTACGGCACCTCATGAACCAGGCGGTCACGCTGGAGGTCACCCCGGCGAAGCTCCAGAAGTGGTGGGGCACTTTAAAGTGGCTCTCCATTAAACTCGGCATGCTCAACGTTGACGAACACAAACAGCTCCTGGCAAAGCGAAAAGCCATCCAAGAGACATTGGTGGACACCCAGGTCAAACCACAGCGTAAAGCGGTGGTTCCGACCCGGGCGATTGTTTGGGCCCTGGAACAAGGGGCGGAAGGGGGCCCCTCGGAGAACCAGGTCCCGGAGTTGACCAAAGCAGTGGACAGGTACATTCTGGCGATGGCCAGGTTCAACCTAGCCTGCAGTGCGCGCTTCAACGACG